AGTTCATATGAATTATATTTGAAAAATCACGATTGTAAATATAGAGCTAAACGAAAGTATTCGCATACTGAATTAAAAATTGTCTATATTAAAAATTGTTATAACTTCATGAAAAAAAAGTCATATAACGATGCAACAGGCCTCATTTTAAAGTGTGAAGGCTCCACTTTGACAATTTATTTTTTTCAAAGATGTGTTTACATTGTGTACCAAGTGAAGAAGAAAGGATATTTTTGTTATCGAAAATTGTAAAAATTTAAATGCCTCATTAAACAATCTTTTTTTTCATGATTAAATCCACCTTGAAAATCAAAGTTTTCTCTTTACAATGACCTCTTAAAACTTGTACGATTTTTTATCGTCATTTTATAAAACTCTAAACATTATGGAATTCTTTAATTGATAAAATGTTAGGATTTCTTGAATTTTCGTCGTTTAACTCTGATATTCAAATATTATTCAAATATTCAGTTTATTAAAATGGCGACAAAAAATGTACAACGGGTTGATGCAAAGAAAAAAACTTCAATCTTGAAGATTATGATAGATCTAATCACGAAAAAAAATGTTTCTACATTTTTTAAGGCGTTTTCAACTTCTGTTCTTGCTTTTCCACGTGCTGCATGATCTAAAAACATCTTTGAAAAAACAGAACTCAATATTGGTAAAATAGAAACTTAAAATAGGATCAACTGGATTATTGTACGATTTTGTTTTACGTACTTTAAAATATCGATAATTTATTATTTTAATTATTATTATTTTATTTTTAATTATTATTATTAATATTAAAATTTTTTAACGAGTGTGCGAATACCTTTTTCCACTTCTGTAGAAATACCAATTCTGTAGGAATTCGTTTCTTGGTTCAAATATTTGTGGAGTGGCATAAATAGGTCTAATACCTTTCAATAACAATTTGCAATACTGCACGTGAGAAAGAAATTAATAATAAAAGCAGACAATAGAAACTATGCTATCAAAACATTTTCGACCAGCAAACATATCTGGTCGTAGTATTTACATTTGTAGCCATGTATATATCATTTGTGATCATTTCTTTCTCTTCATTAGAAATGATTTTGCTGAACGTTTTATTGCCAGTTACTTCTGGACGTCTTGTAGATTTTATGCGATTTCTGTACAATTCCAAGTCGTTTAAATTCAGGACATTTCCTGTGTGTGATAAAACTCACACTTCATTTCCACATCCACATAATTCTTTTTTATTGTTCTTATATGTTTGTAACGTTCTGTTTGTATAAAAATGTTTAAAATAAAAATTTAATTTTACCTTCAAATATTCTTTTTTTTAATTCTTCATAAATAGCAATACACACTTCAGGAATCATTTTACTCAATGACTGAGATGAAATTGCAGTACTAAATTTTAAATCTTCATAATTGTTGCTAAAAACCTCAGTGTTGCGCATAGTTTCTCCTCTGCACTAATTGCATCTTTCATGACTGTATTTCGTTTTTCAATCATCACGAGGTTAATTTTACCTTACTGATGCCTAGTTGCGATAGTAATTCTGCTCAATACGAGAAGAACCGCAGGTTCGGACATTTGTTTCACGCACTCAATCGAGCGGTCGATAGTGCGAAGCTACCATCCGTGGAATTATGCCTGAATACTTTTGGCCATATTCTTTTTAGCCAAAGGAAGCAACAAGTCTCCTAGGAGTCTCGTGTGGATCGAAAAGCTTAAAACAATATGAAACTACTATGATCAGCTACTTCTTTCATCTGTGTAGTGTTTATCTTAAGAACCGTAAATTTTTACAAATATCTGGCCATGTATCTACAATAATGGACAAAATTATAAGACACCTTGAAAAATTACTGGCACAAAGATTTTCATTATATTTCTTATAAACAATACTACATACAAATCAAAGTTATGTAATTTTAATTAACATTTCTACAAATTAAACGAATATTTCCAAAAATTCTTAATTTTCTTAATTTCCAAAAATTCTAATAATACAATTTCACTTGAACATATTTAGACAAAATAAAACACTAATAAGAAACAAAAGTAGTTTTCATAATTAAACGAAATTTTCAAGTCTTTTTTAATGCTAATAGTAGGTTGCTCTTCCTTCATAACTCCGACTTGATAGACTTCTGAATAATTTTTTTTATATAATATTAATCTAAATTCCTTCAGGCGCACAAAATTACCTTTTGATCTAAATTCCTCCAGGTGCACAAAATTGCTTATCAAGTTTTAATTCTTGAATGTTATTGTATTGCTTTCCACCTTCATATATTGCTAAATTTTCCCCATACATTTTCAATAATATTAAGTCCAGAAACATTGCTGGCCAATCTAAAGTTGGTATATTTCTAGTGTTAAAAAAGTCTTTTATAATTTTAGCTGTATTAAATAGATTATCATGCTGGAAAATGAAATTTTCTCCAGCAATTCTTGTAGCACAATCCTGAATTTGTTCTTCTATTAATTTTAAGTAATTAGTATTCTATTTTTCCATTGTAAGCAACATCTGCCCAAAGCATTACAAAACATCCTGACGACTTAAAATTTTCTGATCTTTTCGTTTTCAAATTATGGAAGTAGTATTTGCAGCCATCAGACCCGTCTAAATTCATTTTTTTCTCATTAGTGAAAATGACTCCACTTTTTTTTCCACTGAAAAAGAAAAAGTTTCAGCGCGAATTCCAATTGACATTGCTTTTGCTGTGTTGTTAATGACGATTTTATAACAAATTTTTTTTTTCAAGTATTTTGTTCGCTGAATCTCTCTTTCTATCGTCTTCACCGGTGCATTTAAATTACATTCAAAATTTATCTAGGTATAATGTATCTAGGTATAATGGCTGAATTCAATGCACTTTTCAAGATTATTCTCTTGTTTTTTTGCAGAAAATTGGTGGTCTTGATAATCTTTTCAGTTTTTCACACTTTTTGGGATTACATAAAAAATTTCTAATAGCACACCGATTTCTTTTCGTTTTGAGTGAAATTTACATTTCCTGCTTTTAACTGCAGAATTTCTATTTTTTCTTCTTCACTTAATGATTTGTTACGTGGCGTGCTTTTGTTTTATTAATTTTTGATAAAATTAATTAAATTAATAAACTCACTTTTATAGAATTTATAAGACAATAGAATTTTAAAGAATTTGTAAGACAATACAGGCAAATACAACTCGATACGATGACTCTCTGTAACAAACTAGTACTAATGTCTCATCATTTTGTCCAAAGGAAATTGTATTATTTTTGTTTAAATTAAGAATTTGTTGAAATATTCGTTTAATTTATGGAAATGTTAATTAAAATTATATATTTTTGATTTGTATGTAGTATTATTTACAACAAATGCAATGAAAACTTTTGTACTAGTAATTTTGAAGTCTCTTATAATTTTGTCCACTAAAGTATTTTCCCATACCAACGAATGATCGATTTTGAACTAGGTAAATAAAAAGCGAAAATATTGCACATTTCATTATACAAAACAGACAAAGTATAATACATTGCTACGCATATTTGTTGCCGTTTTTATGTAAATTCTCGCAAAATTCTAATTAATAACATTATTATAAAAGTAAAAAGTTGGATATTTTAATAACTTTCTTCAAGCACGTATAATCTATATATTGCCCGAGGAAAATTTACTTTGTAATCTATTTAATGATTTACATTTTATGCGAAATTGTAAGCGAAGAATATTATATTTATTTTTCTCCGTTTTTCCAGCATTTTGAATTTTTTAAATACTACGTCTATATTAAGAATATTATTTTTCATTAATATCATTTATTATTTCGATTCAGTAATAAATCTTAGGTTTGGCATTTTTCTCTAATAAACCGGAACTATAGAAAATTACTTTCTGAAATGCAGACTATACACATATTTTTCTTTTAATTCTGTATCTTTATTTCCATCCAATCATCTAATGGTTAGATTCTAACCGACGACAGTTGACAAGCATCTTTCTTTGTAATGAACAGAAAAATGATGAAAAGTAATAGTATCTATTGAATTACGATTTATTAAACTGCAATTTGGTATACACATTTTTTATAATGCAACTTACGTTTCTGACTTTAAAGCTTCGTTATTTCAAGCAAATAAAGCGTTAAAATTAGAGATAGAATAATAATCTAATGTTATAGCCATAAATTTTTATACCTGATCTTACTTCTATGTTCTGAATTTTGTTAGATTCTGTTTAAACTCATTGTCAGATTCTTCTACCGCTTGCTGTTTCACACTAACTACAACCGATCATCAAGTGTCTGTCATACTGACTTTTTCAAGTATTCGTCGACAAATTAGATCTATCTGAATTGAACATCGCAGTTTTTAGTTGTGCATACTACCGTTTCACTGGCGCTGCAGTCTTTTTCAGACTGAACCGATAATAAGTAAGGGGATCAGGTGACTTTCAAACGTGGGACATGAAAAATGGGATGTCTATCCTTGTTAATTAATGATCTATCTTTAATCAATGGAGTTTGACAATCAATAAGCCCTCTTTTTTCCCTCCTAACAACAGAATAAAGCAGATGGGCCTCCTCCACCATGGCTCGCAAAGTATGAATCATAGTTGGCTCTCGAGCCGCCAGTTCGACAATTCTGATTTAATCGATCGACTATTACGTCTTATCTCTTTATAATACATGACCGATAGAATTATCAATGGAAATATTACCATATATATAGCAAGAAGAAAGTAAATTAGAGGTGATTTTCTGGTTTTTAAGCACGATAGTAAATTCAAATTCGTAGGAATGAGGCTTCTAACAATACTTTTCAATATTGATGATATTTTAATTTGAACTAGATAGTGGCAATTTTGACAATGGTTGCTCTACCGAAAGTAAATTGCAGTAAATCACAATAAATTGCTTAACCTGAAATAATTATAGTATGTACAGGTTTTTTGACAACGTTAAATACAAATATAAAATCCAAAAAAATTCGCATGTTCTTTATACGATGTCAACAAGACTGGTTATTAAAATTTATACTTCTCGATGTCGGCTATTGCATGTACTAACAATCGTGTTATATGTATTAACTTGAAGTCTGTAAAATTTTTGCATCCGTACATTTTGAAAATCTTGCAAATAATTTGTGTCATTTTATCATGTACGCATTTGCAAATTACGAAATGAAGATCTTCAATAACCTACGATAAATCGTCTTTAATTGATAAAAATCTCTAATTCACAATTTGTGTCAATGTTCAAGTACTATTACATGTGAAACAGTATGATTATTATTTCAATTTTTATTCCAAAAATTGTGATTAATCATATATCAGTATTTAGTTGTATTAATAAAGGCAATCATTCTGATAAATGATAAGATCATTGACTTTTTATAAAACATGTATCTGGAAATAAAAAAATAAAATTTATCTAACATAAGATTTGATTAATTTTTTATTATAGCACCTTTTCTTAGTGCTACAGGAGCACACGGCATTGGACCGAAAATGTTTCAAAAAATGATTCAAAAAGCGACTAGAACATTCAGAAAAATACTTCTAGTTCAAATACAACATAGTTGATACATAAGAATGTGAGTATAAATTTTCAGATTTAAATATTTAAGAAAATCATAATTAATAATGATAACAAATAAAGAATGTATAATCAAATTTACGAAATTATAAGTGTACTTTCTGTAATTTTCAGATGATTTATGGATCAAATTGCACAGAGGATATATTATTACCATTAGAGGATATATTATTAACTATTATTCTTTCTAATTTCCAACTGCCTTATAATATATCATGCAGGTTTGAGCATAATGATGAATATGTCAGGTATACGTATAAATACCGTAATCGATAGATCATAGAAATTTGATCACGAGTGCAAACCAATGTTCACTATAATTTCGAGTCTAGACTTGAATGTTCATCTTACATAAAGATGCGTAAGGAATCGAAATTCGTTAATATTGTAAGAACAATATATTGTAAGAACATATTAAATTATAAACTTACACGAATCACTTTATTTTTCATATAATTAGGAATCAAAAAGAAAAAAAATTTTTGTTGCTTCAAGAAAGGCACGATAAATTTGCAAATTATAATACCTTCCTGTGAGTGCAAATTGTAATACTAGAACAGATAATAACTACAATAGTGGATTATGTGAACTCTATAAATATATCGATTATAAAAATCTGCATGAAATTGTCACGAGTGAGTATTTGAAATGGCTGAAATACTAATTCCTCGTATAACTAAGAGATTGTTAATTAATTTTTTTTCTTCTAGAAACTCCAATTTCATTTCACTGTCAAAACGATAATTAATAACTTTGTAATTTAAAATACAAGCATAAAATGACAACATCAAAACTTTTGATACCACCCATACTACTTCAGTTGATTGTCTCTGTTCACATTTTTGGACTATACGTAGCGAAAATAGACAAATTTAATAGTAGTAACTTACAGATAAGATAATTAGGGAGATAAAATAATAGCTATAGCATAATATAATAACTACAATTTACTTCCTAAAAATTTAATTATGTGTATCAGTGATTTTATTTATATATAAAATTAGGTATTGTAAAATCATGAAACGTTTTCCTATTTTAATTGGAACGATATCATTATATTTCCCCTGTTCTGCACCACTTCTGCACAATAAGAATCTGCGATAATGACGACGTCAAATGCATCATACTTTCCAGCAGGAAACCAACGTCAGCCTGTTGGTGTTTGAGGGCAATCCAGTAGTTTTTCGATTACCTTATATGTAAGAAATTTATTAATAATTTATGTTTAATATATAGAAAAGGAAATGGAATAGCAATTTAATATTTTTTTTTTTTTTTTCTATTTAGCATCACAAAGGATGTCTGGAACTCACGATATGAGATTAAAATGAATCTGAGTGCTAAATGAGATTACTGCTTTTGCGGTTAGATATTCTTTGTTCAACTATCCAAAACTAATTACAAGTAAAATCAAGAATTCATTACGAAATGATTAAAATAATTTGATCCTAGAGTAAATTTTTAGCAAATATTTCTTTTTTAAGTATAGATAGATAAATGGAAGATTACAGTGAATCAATAGATTCATCTCTTATACGTACCTGAATCATCTATTTGTAGCATAAGCTGAGAGTCTTGACAATTTTCCGTATTATTATATTTTGATACAAATTAATGGCTTATTTTTGTACGTGCATGCTTTACTATTTTGTATATTCTATATATATGAACAATATACGCATTTGTATGTTAATAAAGAAAGAAAATTTTTCTTTCATGCCAAATGGAACAAACATTGTCTTATTAAAATCTGAAGGCATAAGGGAAAAGCAACAGTTTTACGAAAATGATATATTTACACAATTTATTTTTATATCTCAACATTGTCATATTGTAATCATAATCATCATCGAGTCACATAATAATTAGCAAAAAAAAAAAGAGAAGTAAACGTCGAATATCGATAAAAAGATGAACGAGGAAAATTTTAGGTCAAAAAGTAGCAGTACAAAAGGAATAAGAGATTCGTCGGTAAACTTGGGAAAATCAATAGATCGCAAATCGGTCATTCTCAAAAAAATTCGAATAGAAAGAAAAAGAGTAAAAAACTTGTAATAGCTTTTGAACGTGTCTACTCGTGTAACCTAATTGATTAAGAAATATGGAGGAAAACTTATCAACAAGTTGCAATCATCTCGAATCATCATTCGTATAACAGATTCTACTCTATAGTGTATGCATTTCATCTTCATGATTTTCATCCTCATGATTCGCATTTTAGTCACCAAATGCCCGATAAACGTGTCATTGTAGGAACTGAATCCAACCATCTTACAATATTAAAGGCTATCTTAAATACTGTGAACAAACACGGTCATTCTTTTTTTTTTTAATTTTGGAGTACAGTTTGCTATCGGATGACTGTGAGAACTTTTCTTCCAGCTTTATCCTTATTCAGAGAATAAAATGAGTAAAAATATCTACATATGATCGTACTTCGAAAAAAAGAACCATATATAATGAAGGCTGGACAGGATCAATTCCAATTGTACCTTTATAGGACGATGTTCATTGTAGCTGGTCCCACTACGTGCATTTATGTGTCATTTATAGTTAGAACAATCGTTGGTGTCGAATACATTACTATACTGAAAACAAAAATATGACTTGAATTTTGGTGCTTTCAAAAAATCATGATAATGTTCACAAGAACATCCGACGCAATAAAAAAAGAAAAAAAAAAATCAGAAAAAATTGTGCTGTGACAATTTGTTCACACCTATAGTTTTGTTTCCAATATGCTTCAAGTATCGAAAACAAGTATGTAATCTTAAATTGGCATTCGGTGTTGTAGAAGTATTGTGGTCTTTAAATATGAATTCAAAGATCATAATAGAGTTTTTTTCGAAAATTATATTATAATAGAAATAATTTTAAGGAAAAGAAAGAAAAAAATAAAAAGAGTCAAGAATTAAATCGAATATATTGAGAAATTTAAAAAAAGTAAAATAAAATATAATTCATAAGCTTGCAAAAGATAAAAGAAATGAAAATAGGAAAAGTTGTTGAATATTTGTGATTGACAACAAACGAAACGATAACTTTTGTATACAATGCATATCCACACATACATATGTATGTTCTTGACTCGATAATGTTTCCTGACTTTTTTGTTTTTAAATCTCTGATTATTCTGATTCAGGAGGGGAAAGGAACTGTGCGCTCCAACTTTACAAAAATTTGCTCGCTTATATTACAATAACCTTCCCTCGATTTAAGATATTCAACCCTTAATATATTATTATCATAAATAAATTTGGTCTATCGGTAATATTGTGAATACGCCGGTATAAATACTGGCAGTATTTGGTTAAGTAAAAAAATCACGATTACTAGAAGAAGTAACTGGTACTGATCCAATTAAAAATAAATGAAACAACTATTTTTTGTGCCAATTGTAAATATTAATCAGTGAAAAAGAAAAAATTTATAAGTTCACATATATCATATTTGGTTAAATATATGTATATACATGATTATTTTTTGAACTATAGGATATATCACAAATATATCCATATGAGAAATATTATATTGTCCCAATAATTCGAGAAATAATCATATATACAAATCTAAACCAAATATATTGTCGCTAACAACAGAGAGCAATAAACGACATACATGTTACAACTTCCAGTAAACATGATTTAACATTCTTTCATCGGGGTATTATCGGGGTATTGTAGATCTATTCACGATACGATCTAAATTTCTTGCAACCCTATGTTGTTAACACATTGGCTTACAATTATAATATCATAAAATCTTATTTCTCGAATATATTTAATGCTTTATATTACAACAAAGTATTGCTCTATCCTCCATATTGAAAAAAAAAAAAAAAAACGGTAAAAGATTGTGCTATATTTCAATGCCTCGTGAACAGATCTATCATAGAACCGCCGATAGGAAAATATAGTGAGTCAGTAGATCCATTTTAAAAACAGCAGTTGTAAAGATGTCTTTTAACATTTCCATTTGATCCACAAAACTGTTCGGTGTATTGTAAACTATGGTGACCCACTTATTAGTTTCTGCAGCACTTTGTTATAAAAAAATAATCAATGTTGTTGTTGCCATCACATGGCGCAACGGGTTCAAGACAAACATCAACATCTCTACCATATTTGTATACATACATTCAATACAACATTAACATTAACTGAGATTAAGAAAAGGCATAATTTACATTGTCGCCGTGTGTTGATCCAAGTCATGAACCAGAGGACACTGAGTTGTGCACACGTAATGTGTGTTTTTTATAGTGTGTGGTATATGTCTTTACGCAATCACTTTACATTATTACACTTTTCTTTCACTCCGCACGTCTCCCAATATTCTGGAAGAAGTGCAAACATTAAATTCGAAAAAATATAAAATTTTTAATTAAACTGCTAATTAAATTCAATGTAAGATCTTACCATAACTATAAGTGTAACATTAACCCTCTCTTTTAATGGCACCTGGTGCTTCTGCTAACCCTTTAACTTTAAGTCGATCAGCAGTTTTAAGAAATGCAGGCAACTGATCTTGAGAAACATTAACTTCTCCTGCATACATAAACTCCAAAATAGCTTGAAGATGACTGTATGCAACATCTTTTAGAATTATAATGGGATGTTTGGACGGATTTTCCTACAAAAAAAATATTAATTAACTGTGTCGCATTTCCTAAAAATAGCGTTTGATAACAAAATGATAACGTACTTCTAACAAAGATTTAAAATAAGGACTACAAGCAGATAACACCATCTTATGTGCTTTACAAGTTTGACCATCACAAGCTAATGTCACGTCTGTGAAACTTTTTTCATCTCGTAGGTGTTTAAACGATGATACCATATTAGATTGGAAATCGTTCCATTTAAGAAAAAACTGCTGCTGTTCATCTGCCATTGTTGACATCCAATGTTTAAACGAGCTTCGCTTGGATTTAAAAACTGAAAGAACAAATGTACAATGGGTTGAAAAATAGATTAAACAGAGTATATATTAAACAGTAATATATATATATAATATATAATATATATATATATTAAACAATATATATAACAAAAATTTAATATACATATTAAACAATAATAACAATGCATATGAAAACAAAAGTTGTTAAAGTTTCAAATACAAAAACGTATATGCATGTTCAATCAAAAAATATTTACTTAATACTTTAATCGCGTTGGAACAAATATATCATGAAACGCAAAATTTCTAGAATGCATACAAAACAAAATATTGCTACCTTGTGGGGAGTACTGTGTACCAGATTTTGTTTAGGTTAAGCCCAAAAGCATTCAAGCAACTCGTGTACAAAACGTCCAGATATGTACGGTAAAGCAAAAGTAGAAATGAAAAAGAAAATATTACACCACGATGTAAATTTCTTCCACTCTAGTAACGGAGAATGCTTTGCATGACGTGTTACTCGTATTTTGTCATAATAATACGCGTACATCCTATAGACCATCCCGTCAAAGGCAGTTGTAGGCCCAAAACAGCCCCGCAATAAGAAACGCGCGAGAAAAATAACTTAATAACGTGTAGTACCTACCTTGATTTAGCGAAGCACTATATACTCGAGAGCAACGGTGAATCACAAAAAGAACCCGAAAAACATATATTGCCGAAAAGTTTTTACGCGAATGTTACTAATTTTTTGTTGTGGCTAATATCACGGCGAAGAAATTCGGTTAGACTCGACTCTTTTCGTCGCGAATCGGTTCGGGAACATCATACCGACTGACAACAGTTTCACTTTCTGTCTGGAGATGTCGCCGATGGCGTTGATTCACGGCACTTGGAGGAATATTCGAAATTCTCTCGACATAAATGTCAATCCAAAATTGTATGTCGACGTCATTGCAACGCACAAAATGCATTCCTAGATATAACATCAAAGGACGCAGTCTCCTGAAACAAAGATAGAACGGTTAAGATCACTCATCATAAAATTCCCCTCTTGATAAGTCGTCGACTCTAAATTTAAACAAAACCGCTTGCAATATCTTATGATACGAACAGTAAAACTCTTCAGTACCGGTAATGTCGTTCCGTTCTTCGTCTCCAAAGCCCATCCAAGGATCTTACTTACATACTGCCGATAATATTCTTTCTCATTTTGTTACTGCTAATTACGCAATCTCGCGCAAGCAATTGGACAGATATCGGCATGCGCTACCTAACGAATCAAATGTACCTGGTATTATATAGAAATCGGTTCCGATCGAGTGACCAACGATGACGATAACGACAGTCATCGGATCGGTTGTCCCGCGAAACGAATCACGCGTTCTCCATACGTATAGCTATAGGGAAATGGGAGCAGTCGTCGAGATGACGCGCACATACACGAGCGGGCATCGGAAAGCAGAGGGAGCGGAACAGGAACGAAAATTGCCGACGGAAAATCTGCCGACTTCCGTGGAAAATCCGTACGCTGAAAGAACGGCGGTTTCGTGTTATAAGTTCTTATAAATAGAACCGAGAAAGGCGAGCACCGGAAAAGTTTTCCTGTCGCGCGATGCCGCGACGGGACGACAACATGTCAGCCTGTAAAACGAACAAAGAAAGATTTAGTCTAGAAGAGAGGGAAAGAACGACGAAGAGGGAATAAGGCAAAACAGCAAGGAGAGAAAGAAACAAAGAATATATAGAAGCGATTGGAGTAAAATGGAGAGGGAGAGTGAGAAAGAAAGAAAAAGTATGGTGGTGGACGCGCGGTATCCACGCTCTTAGCGTTGATCGCTAGAAGAGGAAAGAGGCGAGGAGAGTGGCCAAGAGGGAAGCGCGCGAGCGCAAGCGCAATGAGGCATGGAGTTACTCTCGTCGCACGCCACATTGAAAGCTTGCGACATGCCGCGAAGCCGCTCAGTCGTGCGCCAGCTCTCGTGTAGGTGATATTGTTTCCCTGTTTTCCGAGTATTATCCCTTGTGGTGTACCGCAACCGCGAACACGAAAAAGCCCGCGTAGGCGTGGTGAACGCGTTGGCGCATACGGACCACGAGGTTTTAATTAAATAATAATCAACGATCTTGTGTCCTCCTAAAGGGGGACGGACGAAAGTTAGGGCGGTGTGCGTCTTTGTCCTCGAAAATTGGAATAGTCGAGGGTCACATTTTGATACTTGGATCAGTGTCAGATCTCGGCCCGTCCGCACGGGAAAGTCCGCGGCTCGTCGTTCGAGGTCGTTTTCTCGTGACAGAGTTTCAGAACGACACGTCTGACTCTCTGTTCTTCCCGTGAATAACGTGTCGTCTAATTTTGTAATCCAAAGTACGGGTAAATCATTCAAAGAAATTGGTAGTAAAAACAAACGGACGATCGATTTCACAAACAATCGGATACTTACATTCAACAGAATAGAAGAAGGTGATAACAAAATCGCGGAAAGATATATATCATAATTGTGATGTGCGAGTGAGCGATGGAGTCACCAGTCATGTACGATTCCGCGGCCCATCAGGCCCAGGCCCACGGCGCGGCTGATCTCAAAAAGTCTCAAATACTCAACAACAACAACAACAACAACAATAACAACAACCATCAGAGTAACAACAACAACAACAACACGGCGAACAACAACAACTCAGCTCTGCAGGTGAATCACAATCACAGTCAACAGCAGAGCAGTTCGGTGGTGAGCAAGGTCTCGGCGAGCAAGGCTAGCCTTCATCAACAATACGCGGAACATTGCGCCGCGGCCGGTGAGCTGACAGACCTGAATACGCCAGAGATATCGTTGGATCTACAACACCTGATCGACGACAGCCATTTCAACGACGGCCTGTTAGATATGCTAGGTGCCAATAACGGAGCCGTGAAACATGCCAGAACACCGGGTTATCCACGTACCACGCTCGCCTATATGCCGCAACCTGTCCACAGCGGGGCAAGTTATCACCAGGGCAGCAACAGCTGTAGCGACAGCAACAGCTCGAGCTCCGAATCGCCCAGCATCAAAGAGGAGCCACTCGACCCGGCGGACTATCGTCGCCACTGTCCGCAGTATCCACCAGGTGGATACAGTCCAGTTACAAACGGACCGTTCGCCAACGGAGCACCAACCTTCACAACTTTGACACCGTCCACGGTGCCCGGAGGCCACCCTGGCGCGCCAGTGCACCAACCAGCACCTCGAGGCGGACCGATGAAGCCAGTGATGGCGCATCAACATCATGCCAACACCGCCGCGGCTGTTGCCAGGAAACAGACCAAGACCATTGACAAAGCCAGCGACGAGTACAGAAGACGGCGTGAAAGGAACAATATTGCGGTGAGGAAAAGTCGCGAGAAGGCGAAGGTACGATCGAGGGAAACCGAGGAGAAGGTGAAGCTACTGGTCAAAGATAACGACTTGCTCAAAAAGAGAATCGAACTGCTGACGGAGGAACTAAACGTTCTTAGGTCTCTGTTCAGCAGTGTCGGCGTGGTACCGGAACAGCTGCATCGCGAGATCTCGAGGCACCTCGATCAATTCCAACAACACGCGGTGGGACCTATGTAGCGCACTATGTCGGTGTCGTTGAGTATCGCGGTGGCATCGTGCCGCCTCTATTACACCTTTCTCTCGTTCACCGGCCTTCGTCCCTTGCCTTTCAATCCGATATCATTGCGAAAGAAAGTCATTTGCAAGAGACTTCCGCTTTCCGGGCCGCCCGATGGTCCCGCTCGATCCTTTCGCATCCACGTCATCCGGATCTAAGAAAACCGTCTTGTATTGAAAGCTGTGGACGTTAATACGTCTTTTGTCCTCACTGTTGCACGGTGAAGAACGCGAGATGCGCACGTGCGTTTGTTCAAGAGAAACGACACACGCAGCTCGCGGACAGAAGAGAAGACGTGGTGGGAATGAGAAATAGCGAGTAAGTAGAAGGGAAGGAACGCGCGAAGGAGAGTAGAAGAAGGGAGAGGCGTGACTCGTTTGAGAGAAGAGACGCTCGATGGTTTCACACCGGGAAGAGCTTTTTGGTAGCTAAAGCTTATGTCAACAATCTTACGTGTGGAAGAAAAGTGCCTCTGCTCCAAGGCGAACTTTTGTTTACATCGAGTGCATCGGACATTTTTCCCCTGTCCGTTTCTAGACAATACGCAACGACATGGAGAAGAAAAGATTTACAAAAACGAAAAAAAAAAAAAGGAAAGTAAAGCGAACAGAAGACGCGAGGAATGCTTTGCGAGGCCTTTCAAGTTGCGATCCTCTTCTTCGGGCCTTCGGTGTTACGCGAGAAAATAGATGAAAATTAATCGAGATGAACGATCGATTCATTCGATCGTCTTCATTTCTTTCTTTCTTTTTTTTTTCTTCTTCTTTTTTCGTATCTAACTTTTATTTTTTTTCTTTCTTTTCTCTGTCTTCTTTTCTCAATGTACGTAAGACTGGGTGGTGGTTACCGTATATCTCGCGGATTCGCCACCTTATTTGATCGCGTAATTCACAATACGAATGAAACGCACGTTGCGATTTTGAATAAATGATGCGTGGATGTGTACACACGCATCAATCACACTCTCACATACATAATGCTCACACGCAACAGAAATACTTGCTTACGCAGAAACGAGTGTCAACACGTGCATGCGCGTATCGTCACGCGTATATCTAAATTCGTTTGCATAAATCTTCGATTTTCTTTATACATTTTCAACACATCTTCCATTGATCGTACATACGAGTACAAAGCAAAACGCGCACACTTACATGTACATACAGATGTGCACACGCATACATACAAATTCACACACACAAATCTACATGCAAAAGTGACGATGTGATACATGCACTGCGTTGCGTTCAGACTCTTAAATATCGACTGGTCAAATTATTAGATTATCGTTCTCATTACCAAGTACCTAAAAAGGCATGCCAAGGTATCGTAATTTGCTATCAGCATCGTTGCGATAAAAATGTCTATATATCTTTTAGATTCGTGCGTTATATTTTTCTTGTCGGAGTGAAATGATGCGACTGTCTCCTCGAAAAATGAGCATACACAAATACATACACACATACACACAGAAAATGGAAAGCACTCTTATCACATCTTGTATTATAGCTCTATATTTTAATTTTATTATATTTGAGATGTATGTACATAAAAAAAAAAGCTAATATATTTTGTTAGAGAAACGAAACGAAATGGACTCGTGTTTTTTGTGAGAGAACGAGAGAGAAAGAGAGGGAGAGAAAGGACGAGCGCGAAAGGACAAAAGGAAAGCGAAAATAAAAAAAATTATAAAAAATGTAGAATGTGTGCGAACATGTGTCCAACAAAACTGATTGTTATAATTATACGTTTTAATGTGAACAACGAGTTAGAAGATTACAGCGAGACAGGATGGGAGGAGAGATAGATAATTCGTTGACGTTACCAGAGATTTGGTTCAACCGAATCCCTTTTATCTTGAGTTACCGTAATAATCGCGTGAAGCGGGCTTCATTCTTTTCATTTTATCGTCCTCTTCGTTCGTAGATTCGATCGCGTACGAGAAAACGATATTTGTTATTACCTTATATACGTACTTGTGCGACAAGTTTAATATTTTTTTCTCTTCTTTATTTTATTTTATTTTATTGTATTTTCTTTTTTTTTTTCAAGATGTTTATCGGGTCTCTCGGTGATGCACGACTCAAAACAAACGTGTGTACGTGCATATCACTTACATGTCCGCGCACATCATGCATGCCCGCACACGAGCGTGTATGTGCATGTACACGCGCTCCTTGGCGTATGACTGATGTATGTTAGGTACGAGATTACCTGTCACGGTTGTCTTCTTGTCTATGCACAAATATATTTTGATATAAAAGTATTTTGATATAAAAAACATTCTTCGATGGTCCTAAACTTTTCCATTTCTTAAAATATCCCTCGTGTCTCTCTTAAGATTTTTCCAGCTAACTCCAATGAGAATGATGCGATCAACAGCCGAGGAGCACCATCTTGAGAATCCCTTTAACTTTAGACAATACACAATACAATACAAAATACCAATTAATACGAAACTATTGATTCACTCGTTGTTGTTTCCATATTATTCATAATTGCGTTGAACCACGCACAAGGAACATCACAAGAACGAAAATTTCAAAAGAAACAATCAATCATTGTCTTCGCATCCACAAATATTTGTACGTCCGCTTATCGCGATGTAAAAATAAATTAATCGATCAAAACTTTTTCTACGTTTCTCGTAAGAAAGATTTGTTGTACCGCGAGACGAAGCTTCAGAGAAAACATGATAAAATAACGTTTCGATGGAAGTTGTTGAAAAGAAAAAAAGAATGCGAAATTCTTTTGACGTAGTACAGAAAACGACAATAAAACTGTCGACCATTAATCCGGCAGTAAAAATCGAGCTTGTCGGATGTAGACGATAGACGCGCGAGCGGAAAACGATCGGCCCTCTCAGTCTTAGCGCGAATCCGTCGGTGAATGAGTCACAAGATAAGTTTGTTGTTAGTCAGATAAATAGATTAACACCATTGTGGCGATGGTGGCGTTCATTTTGCACTCTGATGGGACAGGGTACAACCGTTCGACGATGTAGAACTGCATCGAACAGAATTGCACCAGCAAGCAGACACGTGCGTATAATTCGAACGACAAATGAATTTTTCGCAATTATAAAGAGAATCGTGAAACTTGATGGAGATGAACGGAACGGGAATGATATACCTAATCGAACCACGTGGCTTCGGATGGATCAACAGGTTCTCCAAGTTCCAACTTGCCAGGCGCGCTTTGACGCATGCGTTTTCTGTTTCTTTCGAACTACGATGTAACCTGATCCTTTAAAAAAAGAGGTTTTTAAAAAAAGATAATAAATATTTAGTTCTTGTATAGCCAGTGATTTGTTCACACTTTAAATGGGAATTTTAACAATTTAATATTGAAGGTAGTAATTAGTGCTTGTATTCATAGGATGTAAATGTACTTCTTTTCCGTGATATTGTCGCATTGTCCTATTTGTTATTTATTTTCTTTTTTTCAAAGATGTCACAACGAGAAACATTTTTAAATCTCGAAAGACATCTTGTAAAATAAGAGTATCGATGATTTTTGAAAAACTTTACAATTGTAAAATGAAATGTACAAAAATTATGATTCACTTGGCACTGCGTCGTGGTCCAGCGTTTAAAGGGTAACATAATTAGTCGTTAGCTTACGTCAACCTGTGCCAGGGATACGCAGTCTAAATATATTCAAATATGCGAGAAACTCGCTCAGAAGGACCGACATTTTCCAGAAATTATCATTTTGTAGGGAAAATATTCTACTTAGACGTCTGTAATGATATAAAGATAAATGCTCGAACGATGTATGTCTAACGGGGCGCGACTTTCCGCTAGTTTCGCGATGGCAGACTAATGTTGACACACCTGCTGCAGATTAATCGATAGTTTAATTATTCTAAATGTTTCATAATCGCGAAACTGATGCATCGAGAATCAATAGAATCAATTATCTGCAATCTAATCATTCATTACTTTTCGGACAAGTCATATTCAAAGACTAATGATCTACGACAGAATTACAGAGAAGACGCGAAATAGTAGCATTTTTAGTAGCAAAGGATTATTCGAAGGTCATCGAGATGCGTGATACTGTGCGTCGAATTAAAAGTATGACATAATGCAACGAGTTTTGACGCCGGGATGTCTACGTGCACATGTCGCGGTCGTCGCTAGTTTTAGACACAAGCACTGCCAAACAATGCCAGTTACGTGCTCGAAGAGTGGATTTCGGCAGAGAACCGTGGGAACAGTTATTCCACCAATCCAACACGAAGGAAGTACGTACCGAATATTGGAATGATATTTCGAAGTGATCGTTCTCAAGATCGAGTAATCGTTCGAAAAGATGACCTGTACGAACGATCGAATCAAAGATAAACCAAGACATCGTTACTCGTTATTATATACAATACTTTTATAGAAATTATTACACTATTAAAATCTCGTCGAGAGTGGTTTTCTTTCTCTACGAGCCGTCACACTTTGACAATATAGCGTTATTAACGATGCATTGGCAATGGTAATATTATCCACCCTTCTATTATTCGTTCGCTCTCTATTCTGGCTGCAACGGTATATGGGTTAGGGCCAGCTCTAGCAACACTGTTTCTCACCCACGCATCCGCGCCCGCGCCTGCTTCTTCTCCCTTTCACGAAAAGGAAGGCGTATTTCTCGCATACGAGCGAGTGTATTCACGCTTCATCTAGAGCGGCATGAGTGCTCGCTTTTCGTTATACGTTTTTAAGAGCTCATGAAACGATCACGAATAGAATTATGCTTTGGAAAGACAGATTAACATCAAGAGTTTGGACGATTTTACAATCGTGAAAGATATAATAGAGAGTCTGAGTGAATTACGGAGACACACCGCAACACCGGTATTACCCGTTATTCCAGTAAAACAGAAAGACACTCTATCCATGCAGAAAATAGTAAAACCAAGGTCTTCGATCTTGGTGTATAAGTTGAAAGGTCATAATTTATCATTAGGGATTCTCTTTGCCTCGACGGAGGAAGATCATAACTTTCTTTAAAAATTTCACGATCTCCGTCAGTTCTGTTATAAATCTCATCTGTTTCTGAAGTGGAACATAAAGAATCCTCCAACCAATGAAACTACATAAATTAGAGATGTCACGAGTCGAGAAAAAGGTGTCGGATGGGAACACATAAAAATCTGATTCTGTTGGTAAGGGAGGACCCTTTGAGCAAAGAGAGAAGGTTTTCTCACCTTCCCCTTCCTCGTCCGCTACTCCCTCGGCTGGATTGAAAAAATATCTGGCCCAGAGTTAAAAGGGGAGTCTCGTAGATCGGCGTCGCGGTTCACTGCTGCAAGCACGATGTGGGTGTGACCTGGTTTCCGAGAGTTTCACTTTCCTGTAACATCGTTGCACGGAGGAGGTAAGGAGGATTCGACCCCAGAGTTACGTCATGCATTGTTATGCCGGCCGTAACGGGTCGTAGACGTACGTGCGGAACTCCGAGGGAATTAAAATAAGCGACTGACTATTTTGCCCGTGTGGATGACTATGGCTCGATTCTACGGGGAACTGCACGCTACCGCTAGCAGCACGATTTGTCAGAAGCGTTCACCATGCTTGATCGTTGAGTCACAAAAACAGATAGCCGGATACAGAGACATTGAAGCATTCCGGCCGTTTGATCCTTCGTCGAGCCCTTGGTATTTTGCTATGACTGTTTTGTTCATGCAAAAACTGCTAGTCTTGTACGAACCAAGTTTCTCACAAACTATATTCGTTTCTTGATCGGAACGAGGATCCCGTGGCACATAATATAACAACATTAACGAATTCATAATGCGTGCGTAATGCACGCGCTCGCGTGCGCGCGTGCGTCTATATCTTCGCCACGATCCACGAGCGTGTGGCGGCATATATAAAAGAGCGTTCTAGCGAGCGACCTATATTCCACGCCTGCATTGCTATATTAGACGCGTACGACGCATCAGGGACACGCCTGAAAGCGTCTACCTCTCCTTATCTGACGCCGATCAAACACTAATCTGCTGAATAATTTGGTGGGTTCTACTGTCCGAACTTGTAAATATGCCGCTTCCTTTTTTCTCACTCCGACGACAGAATGAAGAAACAGACAGAATTCTCGTTTATGCAACAACGAACGAAATGACAACTTTTCAATGTTTTAATTACCTTAATTACTAACGTGCAAAACACTACGAAAGTACAGTTCTTAAAATTTGATTGTAAATATATTTCATAGTTTGTTCGTACAGTCTGTGTTCTTCAGAATACAGTTTCATAATTTCACTTGCAATGTGAATACAATATGCAGTGAATATCACAAAAAACGTGGAATAGAAAGCTCTAATCTCGAGATACCGATACACCAGCGCGATACTCTGAATATAACAGCCAGACTCGTCTAACGATTCATCCGTGCGTCGGTGGCCTGCATACATAAGAAACGGCTCTGCACGTTTACGCACCCACGCCGCCACGAGGAAGTCTAGAATTTATTTTTGTCTCGATTCTTCCGTACGACCGAATACTACGGTCTTTCGATCGATGAACGCGCAGCGTAAAGACGACACCGACTCTTTCGACTGTAAATTACAATTTGATGAGCCGGCGAATGGCTCTAATACCTTGCCCTATCTCTCTGTCCAAATAGCAGCGTACATTTGCCGACGAACTCGCGATACAAATACAGATGATCAAACAGGGATTGTCATGTCGCTCTCGACAGGCGCCAGCGCGCTGCTACAAAAATCGGAAACAATTGCGTTCCCGTGAAATGTTCACAACGCGATCGTGTCCGACGACGCAATTCTTCGCGAATTCTTTCGCGCGATTAAATCGTGTCCAATGGAAAGTCCGCGATCAACGATCGATCGATCGATCGTTCTCAGCGGCAGTATCGTCGATCAACGTCGGCCGATTCGATTGGCAAGTAGTTTGCTACGGACGATTCGGGTTTGGCGCGCGGTACGATATTAGTAACCAAGTGAGAAAGAAACGCGACGATTTCGTTCGCCATATGGTCAACCTAAATTCTAAGAGCTCGTCGTAACTAGTATAACCGGGATAACCTACATAAAGAAAGCTAGTGATACTGGGGCTCCGCCGCAGTCCGGCGCAGCGACTGGAGCACACGACTCCGGCGAATCAACCAACGGACCGACGAATCCGCACAGCGCCGGCCACTGTAACAACACATGTAAGGCGAATGTTGAGAATTCCTTCCACGTTCTTCGACCCGGAGAAAAAGAAGTGAATGAAACGTCCGGCATAGCGATGCCCGAGATTCCGCGAC